CAAAGACTCAGATAGAATGACAACGTCATCAGCAAAGTCAAGGTCTGTAACCTTGATATTGCCCAGCGTTGCCCCACAATGACTTTGAACAGTATAAATAGCTAGTAGCAGAGCTACTAGCTATTTATATATTATATATACATATATATATCCATATATATATAAAGCTATTTATATATATACATATAAATGTATAATATATATATATATATATATATATATACATATATATATATATGTATGTATGTATGTATATACACACATATATATATAAACATACATACATACATACAAACATATATATATATATATATATTGTATAGGGTTCAAGCAGTCAAAGAATCATTATCGTAACGTAAATTTATTGCAAATCATGTAACAATATGCAAAGTCCAGCAAAAGGTAAAGTGCTAATGAGAAAAAAATATTAGTATATAAATACTGACGAAAATTAAATTTCCATCTGTCATAATAACTTTAATTATTATCATCTAAATAATTCGTCTGCATCCGTTATCCTCCTATCCTTCTCCATCATCCGCATCCCCTTTCTCGACTCCGGATTCGGCTTCGCTCCTCGTGGTTCCGCCTGCGTTCGTCTCACTTGTGGCTTTAGTTTCCGCATCGAATAAAATCGTCCCTCCCAAAACACTCTCAATAGATTCGATTTCCTTCCCGTCCGTAATGTTGAGATAAGGCACTCCCACGAGACTAGCTTCAGTGGAATTCCAAAGGGTGTAGTTCGAAGCCCGGACTGGGTTTAGCGTGGGCGCGGTGGCGGTCGTGTTCAGCAGAGTGGAGTAGTACAGAGTGGCGTTGAGGTGCGGGTTGTCGAGGATGTCGTCTTTCCAGAGTTCAACCTGTGTGGATGTAGATGCGTATATATAGTATATGAATAGCGTTCACACAACTTCAAAAAAAATATCATTAATAAATTACAGAGGATGTACAATACCTGGTAAACTGATTGATTTTCTCTCTCTCTCTCTTCTCTCTTTCTCTCTCTCTCTCCCCCTCCTCCCCCTCCCTCCCCCTTGAGTTCCCAACCTGGAGTCCATGGAGCAGTAGGAAAATTTGGACGTCGAATTAACGTGAATTTTATCTCACCTACAGCACCTATATGATTATCCTTCACATGTCATTAATTGGAATCTTTCTATGTCCTACAGCGACTGGCACCATTACACTCTTCATAACTAGTAATAACTGAATCTGAAAAGTTGACAGTCACTGAACGGGGCCCCCACCCTTCAATCACCCCCACCCTCACCCTCACTTCCACCCTTATCCCCACTCTTACCCCAATCCCCACCCCCACTCTCACCCGACCTTCACCCCCACCCTTACCCCACATTCACCCTCACCCCCCGCTCACCCCACCCTCCCTCACCTTGGTTGTGGTGACGGCCATGAACTCGCTCTTCCTGTATCCGAACTCAGGCCACATCTGCCCGAAGTAGAAGTAGTCGAGGTAGGGGTTCATCCTGGGGCTGGCCTCGAACACCGTCCCCGTCAGGTAGGTGGCCAGGGGGAAGAACACGGCGTAGGAGGTGAACAGGAGGGCCACGACCGCCGTCAGGAGCCCTACCAGGATGGCCTGGCGCCGCGTCTCCGAGCTCCAGGAGGACACTGTCTCGCAAGCCCAGGAGATGAAGATTCCTGAAGAAAAAGGAATTGATAAATGAATAAAAAAACGTTTGAATGTGGTGTTGTTGGAGGTTTTGTTGCAAGGACTTCGCCTTGCGCGCGGCGCGCGCGCGCGTGTCTGTGTGTGTTTGAGTTTCCCCAAAAATGCGTTCAGTATTTGTTAATATTTTTCCCTTTTGCTTAGTTTCTACACCTTTACACAATGTATCCCAACGTCTCCTCAAACAAAAACAACCTACCTTACATACTATCTCTCTCTCTCTCTCTCTCTCTCTCTCTCTCTCTCTCTCTCTCTCTCTCTCTCTCTCTCTCTCTCTCACACACACACACACACACACACACACACACACACACACACACACACACAACACACACACACACACACACACACACACACACACACACACCCACACATACACACACACCAAACCCACACAACACGAAACATCGAGGTCAACATAGGCCTACCTGTGATCATGCAGGAGAAGATGTAAGAAGGGCAGTAATGGTGATAATAGAGGACTCGACTCATGAAGAAAAAGGGGAGGTAATGGAACGCCCAACACAGCACTACCCACCAGCTCGAGTTGAGGACGTCGGCACGGCTCTCTGGAAGATAATGGTAGATAATGGTGATCATGATGGTACAGGGAGATAATGGATTATGATGGTATAGGGAGATAATGGTGATTACATGGGATTATGATGGTATATATGATTATGATGGTACATCGGGGGAGATAATGGTGATTATGATGGTATATAATGGTAGATAATGATTATGGTATAGGGAGATAATGGGATTATACATGGTGATTATGGTGGTTATAGGGAGATAATGGTGATTATGATGGTATAGGAGATTATGATGGTATGATAATGGTAAGGGGATTGTGATGGTTATAGGAGATAATGGTAGATAATGGTGATTATGGTGGTATTGGAGATAATGGTGATTATGATGGTATAGGGAGATAATGGTGATTATGATGGTATAGAGAGATAATGGTAGATAATGGTGATTATGGTGTATAGGGAGATAAGTGTGAATGATGATTATGATGGTATAGGGAGATAATGGTAGATAATGGTGATTATGATGGTATAGGGAGATAATGGTGATTATGATGGTATAGGGAGATAATGGTGATTATGATGGTATAGGGAGATAATGGTAGATAATGGTGATTATGATGGTATAGGGAGATAATGTTGATTATGATGGTATAGGGAGAATAATGGTAGATAATGTTGATTATGATGGTATAGGGAGATAATGGTAGATAATGGTGATTATGATGGTATAGGGAGATAATGGTAGATAATGGTGATTATGATGGTATAGGGAGATAATGGTAGATAATGGTGATTATGATGGTAATTATGGTGGTAGTGGTGATGGTGGTGGTAGGGGGTGAGTGGTGGTGATGGTGATTATGATGATGATGGCAGTGGTAGGGTGTGTGGTGGTGATGATGATGATGATGATGGTGGGTATGGTGGTGGTGGTGTAGTGGTGGTGGTGGTGGTGGTAGTGGTGGTGGTGGGTGGTGGTAGTGGTGGTGGTGGTGGAGGAGGAGGAGGAGGAGGAGGAGGAGGAGGAGGAGGAGGAGGGGAGGAGGAGGAGGAGAAGAAGAAGAAGAAGAAGAAGAAGAAGAAGAGGTGATGATGATAGTGATAGTTTTAATGCTAATAGAAGATGATGATCGATGATACTACACCAAATCAAACCACTCATAGATAAATAAACAGATAAACAGGTAAGCATATAAATCCACGGCACCTTCACCAAGATCCGAACCCCCCTTCCAGCGCCTCCCTCTGTAGCTGTGCAGGAGAGCGAGGACCAGCAGACCCACGAGGCAGGCGAGGTTAAGGTAGGTCACCAGAGGGTTGGTCATTCCGATCGCATACACCTCCTCTTTGGTCGCGTTGTTCACCACATAGGACGCCATGGTCTGCATCTGGGCGAGGGAGAAGGGGGAGAAGGGGGGGGGGGTTGTGAGTGAGCCTGGTAGTGCGTTGGGGCTTTTTTTTCTTTTTTTTTCGTCTTTTGTCTGTCTTTGTTTGTCTGTCTGGTTGTCTGTCTCTGTCTGCCTGTCATTCTCTCTCTCTCTCTCTCTCTCTCTCTCTCTCTCTCTCTCTCTCTCTCTCTCTCTCTCTCTCTCTCTCTCTTCTCTCTTAAAAAAAATCTCCATGGAAAACACTCTTACAGATCCTCTCTCTTTATCTGAACTCCCTTCCCTTCTCGCCCTCAACCTTCCCTTCCCCCTCCCTCCCTCCTTCCCTTCCCTTCCCTTCCTTCCCCTTCCCCCCCACCCAAATACCCTCCCAACACCACGCCCTCCTCCCTCCCTCCCATCCTTCCTCCTTGCCTTCTCTCTCCTTCCTCCCTCTCACCACATCTTCCCTCTCCATCCCTCCCCAACCCCCTACCTCCCTCCCTCCTCCACCCCATCCCCCTTCCCCACCCCCTTCCTACCTGATACAGGACCGGCCACATCCAAGGGCGCGACACTCTCTCCATGTCATCTGGGGGCGTGAGGACAGCATTCCCGACGAACATGTTGAGGTGCTGCTGGTAAATCTTCTCCCAGAGGTTCGCCGACCGGTCTCTCGCGCGGACGGTCTTGGCGACTGCGAGGGAGGACACGGAGAGTGTGGTTTGGTTGTTTCTGGAGTGGTTGTGGTTGTGTATGTTGTTGTGGTTGGGTATGTTGTTGTGGTTGTGTATGTTGTGTGGTTCTGTATGTTGTTGTGGCTGTGTATGTTGTGTGGTTGTGTATTCTGTGGTTGCTGATGTTGTGTGGTTGTGTATGTTTTGTGGTTGTGTATGTGTATGTTGTTGGGATGTGTGGTTGTGTTGTTGTGGTTGTGTAATGTTGTGTGGTTGTGTATGTTGCGGTTGCTGATGTGTGGTTGTGTTATGTGTGTGGTTGTGTATGTTGTGTGGTTGTGTATTGTGTGGTTGTTGTATGTTTGCTGATGTGTGGTTGTGTATGTTGTGTGTGTTGTGTGTTGTGTGGTTGTGTATGTTGCGGTTGCTGTGTGGTTGTGTATGTTGTGTGGTTGTGTATGTTGCGGTTGCTGATGTGTGGTTGTGTATGTTGTGTGGTTGTGTGTGTTGTGGTTGTGGTTGCTGATGTTATCGTGTTTTTGTTTTGTTTTGGGGGTCATTGTTTGTTTTGATTCTTGTGATTGATTTGTTGTTTGTTTGTTTCGTTTCTCATTGATGTAATTTATTGTAGTTGTGGTTCGTTCTGTTGCACTGACTTTATGCCTGATTTTTGCAAAGGACTGATATTGCTAGTCAGTTATTTTTCGACTTAACATGCTACAGCCTTAAAATCGTTATTATAAAATGGATTTCTTAAAAATAAATAAATAAATGAATAAATAGATTGCTCACATTTTGGGCTGTTGTTCCAGTTGATGTGCCAGAGGGTGCCAGGCTGGCTCGGGTTCTTGGAGCACGTCACTTCCTTCGCACCAGGGAAGGCCCTGTGGGGAAAGCAGCGAACCAGATCACTGTCAGGGTTCAACAGACACAGACATAGACACAGACGTAGACACAGGCACATAAACACACACGTAAATTCTTTCTCTCTCTCTCCTCTCTCTCTCTCTCTCTCTCTCTCTCTCTCTCTCTCTCTCTCTCTCTTCTCTCTCTCTCCTTCTCTCCTCTCTCTCTCTCTCTCTCTCTCCTCTCTCTCGCTCCCCCTCTCTCTTTCTCTCTCTGTCTCAGTCTGTCTGTCAGTCTGTCTGTCACTCTCTCTCTCTCTCTCTCTCTCTCTCTCTCTCTCTCTCTCTCTCTCCCTCTCTCTCTCTCTCTCTCTCTCTCTCTCTCTCTCTCTCTCTCTCTCTCCCTCCCTCCATCTCTCTCTCCCTCCCTCCATCTCTCTCTCCCTCCCTCCTCCCTCCCTCCCACTCTCCCTCCCTCCCTCCCTCTCTTCCCCACATCACACACACAAACACATAATATACCCACCACTCCTTGGGTAGTTTCACCATCTCGTTGGCTTTGAGGTAGCAGTTCATCTTCCAGTGCCTGAGCATGAAGTCCTGGTTGATAATGGTGAGGTTTGCCCCCTTTGCCTCGCCCGGGATCACCAGTTCCCACGTTTCAAAGGGACCACCAGCTCCGTCCTGGGGAAAAAAGGGGGAATGGAGATGTTGTAGGATGTGTCGAAAGGGACGGAGGAGGAGGAAAGGATGGATAGACAAGAAGGAGGGGGAGGAGGAGAAGGAGGAAATTGTGGTTAGGCAAGAAGGGAAGGGGAGGAGGAGGAGGAGGAGAAGGATGGGTAGGCAAGGGGGGGAGGAGAAGGAGGAAAGGATGGTTAGGCAAGGGAGGGAGGAGAAGGAGGAAAGGATGGTTAGGCAAAAAGGAGGGGGGGAGGAGAGGGAGGAAAGGATGGTTAGGCAAAAAGGGGGGAGGAGGAGAAGGAGGAAAGGGTGGTTAAGTAAGAAAGGGATGGAGAAGGAGGGAATGATTATTTTTAGGATGTGTCGAAAAGGGAGGAGAGTGAGGAAATGATGGTTAGGTAGGAAGGATAAGGAGAGAATGAAGATTGTTTTTCGGTGCTGAAAGGAATGGAGGAGGAATTCATGGTTAGGATGTAGAGGAAGGGAATGGATAAGGAGAGAATTTTTTTTATCCATCTCTCGAAAGGGAAGGAGAAACGATGGTTAGGATGTGTAGAAAGGGAGGAGGAGAGGGAGAAAATAAAGATTGGGGAAGGGGGATCTGTAGAAAGTGAAGGATAAATTACTTTTTTGAGCGTGTGTAAGCAGTGAGGGAGAACATTTATAATTTTAGGATGCGGAGAAATTGAATGGAATAATGAATTCTCATTTTGTAAAAGTACTAGAGAAAATAAAGTTTTTTAAGTTGTGAAAAAAGAAAGAAGAAAGAATGATTTAGGATGTGAAACAAGGGAAGGAAAAAATCATATTTGAGGATGTACAGAAAGGAGAGGAGAATGATGGATAGGTTGTGTAGAAATGGGAGAAGAAGTCGCCTTTTCTTTCTCTCTCTGAAGAATTAGTGTATTTTGATGGTATTATCAACCTCAGAGCGGGTGTCCTCTCTTACATGGCCTGATCCGCAGATTATGGTAGCCTACAACAGCTATACAAGAAGTGTCTCTCCTTACGTCTGCAGCCTCAGACTAAAACCCTTACAGCTCTACAAACACGCCAAAACTACAATATCCCTACAGGAGCTCTGAAAACCACGCCCTAGACTACAATAACCCTGCAGGATCTCAACAAACCGTAGCCTCAGACTACAAAACCCTTACAGGAGCTCTACAAACCAAGCCCCAGACTAAAACCCTACAGGAGCTCTACAAACCACGCCCCAGACTACAAAACCCTTACAGGAGCTCTACAAACCACGCCCCAGACTACAAAACCCCTACAGAAGCCTTACAAAACCCTTACAGGAGCTCTACAAACCAAGCCCCAGACTACAATAACCCTACAGGAGCTCTACAAACTCTACAAAACCTACGACCCTTTACAAGGCCCCAAACTACAAAAACAGGAGCTCTACAAACCAAGCTCCAGACTACAAAACCCCTACAGGAGCTCTACAAACCAAGACCCCGAACTACAATAACCCTACAGGAGCGCTACACAAGACGCCCTTCCTTACGTCGCCATATCCGCAGACTTGGAACTGCCTCTTGGTGATGGGGGCGCGGTGGCCGTGGGAGCGGAGGGAACGGCCTGTCTCGGCGTGAGTCAGCATGACGAAGTCGCCGTTCTTCACGGTCACCGGCGCCTCCTTCGGGTCCGCGCCGTCGATCACCGCACCGGCTTCGAGGTCCACCTTCTTGATGATCCTGGAGGGGGAGGAGGAGGAGGAGGTTAAATGGGTAGATTGGAGAAGAAAAGGGTAAAAAAAATGATTTTGGCATTTTTTTGGTCTTCGAGGTCCACCTTGATTGTCCTGGAGGGGGAGGAGGAGGTTAAATGGGTAGATTGGAGAAGAAAAGGGTAAAAGAAAATGGATTTTGGCATTTTGGGGGTCTTCGAGGTCCACCTTCATTGTCCTGGAGGGGGAGGGGGAGGTTAAGAAGTGTAGATTGGAGAAGAAAGGGGAAAAAAAATGGATTTTGGCATTTTTTTTGGTCTTCGAGGTCCACCTTGATTGTCCTGGAGGGGGAGGGGAGAGGTTAGAAGGGGTAGAAGAAACAAGAAAAAGAAAACTTAATTTTTTGGTATTTCTGGGTCTCTGCCGTCGGGTTCGAGGTCCACCTTCTTGACTGTCTTGTGGAGATGGAGAAGATTAAGGGGTGAATTGCGAGGGAAAAAAATAAATCTTGGCATTTTGTGGGTCTTCCCTGTCGACCTACACACGTCGAGGTCTACCTTCCCGATTATCTTGGAGGGGGAGGTCCACCTTCTTGATGATCCTGGAGGGTGAGGAGGCGAACAAGGAGGTTAAAGAAGTCGGTGGAGATGGAAGGGAAGACAAGAGAAAGGAAATTAACTTCTGATACTTCGTGATAGGGAAAAGTAGACTTCGTGGTCCACCTTGACATTCCTGCAGGAGATGAGGGATAGAAATAGGGTGATAACAGGGACAATAATAAAGGATTAAGGAGGATAATTAAGAAAAGAAATATATATTGGTGTCTTTGGGGCTCATTGGCATTGATTGGTTTTCCTGAAGGAGGAAACGGAAGAGAAAGAGGTTGATAAGATTAAAGATTTTAGGTTTGTTAAAAAAGGAAAATAATTGTCTTATTGTCACTTTCTCAATAAGAATGGAATACAAAAGAAACGGTTAGACATAAAACGCTAAAAAAAATTGACGATTACAAAATCGACACGAATGAGGAATGAGAGAGAGAGAGAGAGAGAGAGAGAGAGAGAGAGAGAGAGAGAGAGAGAGAGAGATGAGACAGAGAGAGAGAGAGAGAGACCAAACAGAAAAAAAAAAACAAAGAAAAAAAGGACAAACACCAAAAAATCACACCACCACCACAAGTCGACCCAAATTACCCACACAATCAGCCCTCGTCGTCCCTGATGGTGGATGTGGTGACCTGTTGGCAAGGCGCCGTGAACTCTGAGGGGAAGAGGTCATACCACGACTCGAGATACCCGCAAATGGGTCGGCTGCTTTGGATGGTGATGTTGGCGCCGTAGTGGATGTCTGTTCGGAAGAGCGGGTGCGGGTAGTTTAGTTAGTATAGTGTGTGTGTGTGGGTATTTGGGGTTCTGTACTGGCGTGTTTTGTGGGTTATGTGATTAATTTTATTTGCTTTCAGTTTTTTTTTCACTCATTTTTTCTACTTTTTATTAACTGAGGTTATTCTTAAACAAATGAATGCAATGGCCCATAGTTAAATTTCGTGAGATATTTGTACATTAGGTATATTCATGGGAAACTTTTGTCGATTTTACAGACGTCACTTACGTTCGGGGAAAGTCGCATTGTCGTATTCTGTGTTGGAAAAAGCTGCAAAGAATTTCGTCGGGTAGAAGCCGCCGCCATTGACGCTCCTATAGAAAACGGGAAAAAATCGGTAAACAGTTTATGCACTTAAAATTATTAAGATGTATCTCTTTCCAACAAAGAAAATCTGTATAAACAAGGCAGTAATAACGTACCAATTAGTGAGCACCCAAAAGTGAATGACGAAAGTCGATAAATACACTGCAATGGGTAAAACGATAAGGCCGAGGACCCGAGCTGCTGTATGTGGGAAAACGTGCCACTGTAAAGGAGAAACTTGCGTAAACATGACACCCGGTACTGTGCAGCTTGTTACCTTTAATAGTGGCGTGCAGAAGGGGGGCGAAGGGGCAATGGACCCGGGCATACTAATATGGGGGGTATCCAATCAGAGACGGGAATCAGATGGTGATTTTAAAATTTATCTCTAAATCGTATAAAGTGTTTATTTTTTTTAATGTTCACATATTCAAAATATCTCCATTATAATATTTCAAAGTACAAGGCTTTATATTTGAGCCATTGGGGCATACAATCAAGGGTTTGGTCCTGTGTATTACCCGACCTCTGCACACCACTGCCTTTAATTACTATAGATTAATAAGTGATTTCTACATGAATATCTATCTTGTGCATCTTATCACCATAGTTATGTTTACATATAGCATGACATTATCGTATATCTATGACATTTGTTTTTCTTCTCATGCCAAACCGTTGTATAAGATCCAATATTTTACAATTTTTAATGTATTTCTTTTCTTTCTAGTTAAAAAAGAAAAAATAACATTTACTCACCACAGGTCGACTCGAATCCACCAAAATACAAAGGAGCTGATACGCCGTGTGCACGCCCACGTAGAGAACGGTGTAGTGCCCACAATATGATTGGCTGTTGTCGGTGCACGCTGTCGGTGCCGCTGAGTGTTAGCAGCTGCTCCCGTGGTGATGATGAGCCTGTAGCTCAGCTGACTGTCTCCAATTACGACATCTTCACTTTTGAGTTATGGTGGTTCTATACAACTCGCCTTCGAAGCTACACCTAACACACAATGCACACAGTAATTAAGCTCTTTATATAGGGAAGGTAAAGTATCTGCGTGTATGATTTAATGATGAATATCTGTGTCTGAGTGTGTTGTTGTGATTCCTCCTCGCATAATAGGTTTTTATATTATGATATGAAGTGAATATTGAATATTATTCTCTTAATGGGCCGATATACTCCTGTGTCTAACTGTATGAGTGACGGGGTAAGTTTAAGGGTCCCCTTATATTTTCTGTTAGTACTTTAAGTGAGTATGATGTCATTAATCCTAACTGGTGTGGTGAGTGTAGATGTTGGTGTGGTCAGTGAACATCTGTCGTAGTTGTTGGTGGTTGTGGTGTGTGTGTGGTAAGTGATTTAGAACAGGCTGCGGAGAAAAAGATGACAATGGCACTCGCAAGTCTTAACAACCACAAGCGACATCGCACACTATCACAACGCAATCACGCTACAACCCGCCCACGGCATCTATCGGCAACACGAAAGGAAGGGAATCATCTCAGTTTGTGACCTGAGAACGACACGGCAAGACACCGCGCGGGTCCCACGGGTCACGGCACCCTGCTCTGGCAGACTCGAGTTGCTTGCCAGTGTGTGTGGTTGCCGCTGATCTCCCCAGGTGTATTGACTAGCACTGTGTTAGCTGAGGCGACCGCGGAATTGTGTCAGACCAAAGAACGTGGTCGTATGAGCTTTATTGATGGTATCCTACGCGAGGACTCGTGCGCGAAAAGGACTCGCGGTGTCATAGGGATGGAACGTCAGGTGAGGAGAATGAGATGGACTAGAGGGTGTGACCTTGATTCATCAGATTTTATATGCTTTTGTCTTAGGGGTAGTGAGGGATAGGGGTCTCTGCTCCCACTATACGACTACATGAGAGAAACTCCCACGTATAGGTCGCTTATGGAGCTCGTGACCTTACAATCGCTCCGGCGTGATTGCTGACGGATGGTTAGGTTGGATATATCCAGGTAAGTCTGAACCTGTGGAGTAAGTGCTTGGAAAGATAACACTACACCACCATTCGGGAAAAACATGACTACTCGCCACACTGCTGCCCGCGAAACTTCCCACACAATTCAGTGTGGTGTGTGTGTGTGTCGATCGATACGACACTCACGATCATACACACTATGCCATTGTGCCATACCCAATTAAATACACACCTCTATAATACTATACCTTGATGTCATGGTAGTGTGGACTACTATATAATTCTTTGATTATGGTCCCGTTAAGACACAGGGCGACGATTGGCAACCATGCAGCGGGTAGTGGTCCAGTGAGGTGAGTGATAGTAGATAGGGTGTTCAGGCTATATATATATATATATATAATATATATCATGGGTGGGTGTTGCTGTGTGTTTTTGGAGAAACGTATGTATATATATATATATATATTTTATGGAAAATGAAGGGAGAGTATAACCACGAGATTAGAGGGAGGATGGGTGAAGGATGGGAAGACTGACGCGTTGTGCGATCGTGCGTGTCGCGCGGGAGAGTTCCTCTGGACGAGAGAGAGACCGCGAAGAGGAGGTTGAGTAGTGGAAAGGAGTTGAGAGCGCGTCAGATGGGGTAGATTTCGGAGTATGGGTCTTGTGAGGTAAGTTTGAGCCGTGTGGTTGCATTTTTATGTGTTAGTACGTGATTATGTTTTGCTTGTGTTCGCCAGGTTGAGGAAAGGGAGGGGTGAGAACTGTGACAGCACGACAACGAACGCAAGCGACGGACACCACACACACACCACAAGGAGAAGGTATAAGTATGGATGTAGTAGGTGGAAGATGTACAGGTGAAAAATAATTAAGGTTTGACGTGAAATAGGAGAAGAGGATCATCAAGTATTGAATAAGAGATAAGAAACAGAGACATGAGAAAGAGGAGACTAAAAATAAAATGATAATGAACTAACTGCCCAGTCATCAACATACTCAATAAATAAAGAAAAGGATAAGTAAAGATATAAATAATAAAATAATCTATCTAAACTAGTAAATCTATTCAATCTAGATGACATATCTCACACGATAAAATCCACAAAAGTCGTTATCGAGTGTCAACAACAGCAGCCTTAGACTCGAATCCCATAAACTCTTTATCATCAACGTCAGCTACGCAGGACGCGACGGACGGATATGGAGCGTTGAGGGAGAAGGAGGCCTCCCACACCACCAGGAAGTCAGGGAACGCAGAGCCCCGAGGTGGAGACAAGACCACGCACGCTCATACTTCTTTCTTAGATAGGATGGCTGAAGGATAGATGAGTGATAACAGGAGTCGCGGAATTCTATGGTACTTTAAGGAAAGAAGACAAAAAAATACTGGAGGGTTACTCTCAGTCATAAGATCCAGTGAAATGATAGGATGATATGTATGAAAATTAATTGGAAAGAAACGTAACGCCTGCATAACAGTCTAACACTAGAGAAAGTTATAATTATTTATACCCCTTTTTCTCTACTAAACATAACCAAATTAAATATATTTAAGATAATATAAAAAATTTATTATTCCAATTATATTTTACACAGATTTTATTGGTTTCATTTGAATTAATTTACATCCTCATGCAATTTTCACATGACTGTTTGTATTTACGGGTTGTTAAATTGTATTTTAATTTACTTTTAATTATATTAATTATATCTATTATTTATATATTATATCATTTTATAGTTTTTCATTTTAATTTTATTATTTTTTTTTGCAAACCTATATACAATATGATACATTACGTATACTATTTTACCACTATATAGTGGTGTCTCCTACTTATTTACATGTGAACTCTTTAAGCCACTCTACCTCTCTTATTCTGATACTTTAATTAAGATAATTAACTTTATACACTCAGTACTACTTAATTTTTACTTTATCAAATTGGTAGTCTAGTACTCATATAACTTATATTTACGGTTCGTAACATTTAACTTTCTCACTTACTCCTCCACATCATAACTTATCTGCTTCAGATAGATCTGTTTCTATTTTGATGAGTACACATCTAGATTCTCCTAAGATGACCAATTTGTTCTAATTAGTTAATTATATATATTATGCTTATTTTTAACAGCTAACTCTCGTCACTATACATTTGTTTATCTCATTTAATCCATTTCTCTCTTATACCATGAGCATGTCAACACATGGTTACTCTTTTACACTACTTACTCGTTATTTATACCTCCTAACAGCCATAGGTGTTAATAAATTTGTTTAATATGCATTTTTAATTATGTTTTTGTTTTCCTTTAACTTGTTACTGGAACCTTATATCCTCTTTGTGAAAGCAAAAATTTTTGTGATTTTAGCGAACTTTTCCTGCCTGTCAAATCTCGCATACGTAATTGCATTTCTGGGCGGTGTAATTCTTGCTCGCCCTCGTGACCTTCGCGCTCAAGAAGTCAGAAGACGGTTGAGACCAATGATGACCGTGTGAGTATCAGACCAAATGCGCTCAGCCCCCACGAACCACAGACCGATCCTGATATCTAATATGTATAGAGGGATGTTAAGAGGTTAAGTATAATAATTAGAGCTATACTCTATATTTATGGCTTAGTTATTTTGAATGATGGTTGCTCGGTGGGTGTGGCGTGGTGTGTGTGAGTTAAGTCGCGGTAGATTTAGGGCACTAGTAGTGGCTAATTCCGTAAGAGTATCTATAGAATTAGATCTATTAGAGATTTTTCATTTCTATTCATTTTTATTTATTTATAAAGTGGTCAGATTAACTGTTAAGAGAGGAAATTTATATGTAGAATTACATATAATGGTGTGTTATATTAGGTGATATAAGCGTGTGTATTTCTTATGTGCCATAAAATCTGGAAAGAGACTGACAGATGGGTGTGAGGATCCCGATTCCGTGCGTCATGTTTATTAATTCATTTATGTTGATATGGTTTTTGGTTAGATTGTATGTGTGGTTTGCTGTTGCATACTATAGTTAGGTATTAAAAATATGAGTATGATTGTGTTTTTTACTATTAGGTTATGAATATTTCTCTTTAAATGAGTGTAAGTCTACTGGATAGATGTAATTTACATAGCCTGTTTATATATCTTTATTCCCTCGCTTGTGTTTTACATTAAATACTAATAATGATATGAAAATTGTATCTCTCTCCTCGTAATGTGTTTCTAATTTGTTTGACGAGGGGATACTCAACGAGAATGAAATGCACTTCCCACCCCACGAGCCTTAAAACCGTTTACGCCACCCTAGAAGCTTAGATGTACCCAAAATATGTTATGAAATCATTTATTTATAAGGTCTCTATTGTTTACTTTCTTTACTTTTTACGAAAAATACGATGATATGTGACATATATAATTTTGTAATTTACTATCTGTTTATTCGCGTGGGTTGTGGTGTTTAGATGTGATTTTTAACACAATATAATTGTTGAAATGCCTATAAAAACAATTCCTTTTGATTTCCATTTTCTTCCATTCCATTTTCTATCTTATAATTCGATCTCTTTGAGGGGGAACTTTACCTTTCCTAAAGGTGGGTGGACATCGTGGTAGAATGTTCTATTGATGTAATGATTAGCGAAAGTTCCAAAGTGTACTTCATCCCAGCTGTTGGAGAGACGAAGATAATTTTATTCAAAGTAACTATGTTGTTGAACATGAATACAGAAGTCCATTTTAATACATTTGTCAACTTCGATTATATCTACATTTATCAACATTTTAATGAAAAAACTACACCTACTAAAACAGAAGATTTACATTCCTTATAAATATCATCTAAGTTCCTAAAATCTTTTATCAAACACAACAACAACAAAAGGTAAGAAAACCATGAATATGAGAAA